TTAAAGTTTTTTACCCAAGCCATGCGAGGACACCAAGTGTCATCTATTCTTTTGACATTTATCTTTCTTGATTTAATTATTAAAAAGAAAAGGAAAATTAAAAATTTTTAATAACTTTAACAATTAATTCCTACAATTTAATAGTCAAATCTAATGTAAATTAATTAAGTGTAACATAAGGGTGACCAATTTTAATATAGTAAGTAAATAATACTTTAACCGTTTATTAAAACTATACAAAAAGTCACAAAAATAAAATCACAAAAATCTTTAATAAAAAGAATTGTAATATTAATAAAAAAATGGTGTGAGTCAATTAGTGATTTTAGAAAATTTAAAGTTGTTAGAATCCTAAAATTGTCAATCATGTTTGATAAATAAAATATATATTTTTCATATATAAAATAATTAATTTACGTAAGAATTAGCTATTAAATTGTTAAAACTAATTGCTAAAGCTATTAAAACACATTTAGTTTTCCTTTCCTGTGCAATAAATAAATTAAAAAACCAAATGTCATAAAAACAGTATAATCAAGTTTCAATTATTCATCTTTACAATTTAAAGTTCTAATGAAATAAAACACAAAGATGCATTCCAACATCTCAATACAAGAAAAGNAAAAACATACNACAACTTGTCTGATCAATANATTTCTTTNACAATCGTATTTGATGTAAGAAAAAAGACGATCAATCATTTTTTTAGGGAACCGCAGTGAATATTGATAAAGACATATAAGTTGCGGATTTGTGCAAAAGAAGATACCGTCCATATACATACGCTATAATTTTTATTAATGAACAATCTATTTTTTCACATATAACATTGTTTATGTCCAAAATTTCCTTCAAATGCTTAATCTTCTAATCTAGATAATTACTATTTACTACAACAACAATTTGTTGTAATATTTAATACACAAATAATCAATAAATTAGAATTATTACATATTTTACCATGTTAATTTTAATTCCACGCAACGCATAGACAATATCTAATTATTATATATGCTATATATGTATAACTTTTTTTTTCCGTCCCTTGTCATATAAGTTGTTTTTTTATTGCCAACTAAAATGTCATCGCGATACA